AAGCGTTATTGATGCCTTTCCATTTGAAATTGATCCTTTAGATGATTTATTTGCTACAACAATAATATAACTAAATAATAAAGAGTTATCATTTTTAGTTGCTCGCAAAAAAGAAATGGAAACATAAAGAAAAAAACATACTTTAAAAATATATACTTGTATTTCTCTATTATTACATAAAAATTACAAAATCTTAATATGATGATTCAAAATATTCAAATTTATTTTCTAGAAAATTTTGTTTTTGAGTCTGTCTTTGTAACAAATGAGTGATATTTAATATATACATATGTTATGTACATATGTAGGACTAATTTTTTAAATGGGAAGGCATCAGTGACATCTAGGCGTTCAAAATTTAACGATTCAAATTGAATCTGTCATTCAGGATCATGATATTGACATCATATATCAAGATTAAGGCCTTTGGAGGTTGTTTTATTTTTAATATAAAAATGAGAATAAGAGTACAACCTCAAAGGCCTTGTTCATGATATATGATGTCAAGATCATGATTCTAAACGACGTTTAGAAGGTTTTAACCATCAATTGGATAATTACATCTTAGATAATTAATGCTAATATGATGCCGGTAGTACTGTAATCTTTAATCTCGAAAAGTGCTTGAAATAATATTTTGTTATAGTATTTTAAAGAACTCTCGAGATAAAAATATGGAATAAAAAAATAGGAGTTTCAGTTTAAAAAAAAATCGATTTGACCTGACTTTGGTGACGCCACTTAAGATTAAACTGACAAGATCAGTAAATAGACCTTTTTAAACCCAACAACTTTTGTCCGAAATATTTTTCTAAAAAATGCATGCTTTCCAAGATATTCTACTAACTTTTGTTCATTGTATGCTTGTTTTTCGAAACTTTTGTTGAATTTTGTTCATTATATACGTTAACGTTAGACATCTCTTATAATTGTTCAACCATTTCAAGTTTTCTTAGAATGACTGGTGGATTATTATTTTAGTTCGAGGACATGTCTTCCGGCAATCATTTCGCATCGTATTTATTATTGTTATCTTCTTGTCGCATGATTCTAGAGCACATCGTTAGCCAGCCGGCGTATAAGCATCAGCTATAGTGCTAGGAATCCTAAGTGTAAACTGCGTCAATATTAAATGACAGCGATGATGTAGCTGCTGTAAATCAGTTACTGAGTAATATATCATGGAAATATATGGTCTCTCTTGTGAAATAATTTTAATATCGTTTTAATGCGAGGGAAAGCTCCGATCGATGCGCTTATTCCGTTATGAGGATAATTAAATACATGCTAATGGGTAAGCAATGTGACGCGATGATTGTCAAACGCAAAACAGAATTGTATAATATAGAGGTTGCAAATCTGCTTTGTCAGATAGTAGTCTGTGCATGATTTTTGTGATGCTGATGATATTTCATTATCGATGTAAACGAATAAGCGGAAACTCATGTGTCATTTCGTTAATTAAATTTATGATTCATTTGAACGGAAAGAATGATGGTAGTCACCAGCGTAAACCGTAAAGTCCATTTTAGATATTGTATAATTTATGACCAAATTTGGGACAGAATTCTATTTATAATATTGCGTGTTATGTAACATCGAAAACACTTGAAGAAATAAAATACATATATAATATAGAAAATATATGTAGATATATATATATATATATATATATATATCAATGATATATATTTTCTATATATATGTATTTTACTTCTTTAAATATTTTCTCTGTTATACGACACGCAATATTATAGATAGAATTCTGTTCTGAATTTCTATCTGAAATTAGTCACGAATTATAAATCATCTAAAGTGGACTTGCGATTCGAAAAACTGATTGTAAATAGAATTAGCATGAATAGAAAAAAATTAGAACATGTTTAAATTTAATTTTTTTACTAGAAACACGTTGTCGAATGATACCGTTGTTATCGTGTTGATGTATGTTTGCGCGATATTCTCATTTGTGACGCACGACGCAGCCGAGCTAGTATCGGTTGATACTTTCGACAAAGCAATAAGGTCACGTCGTGTAATGAGGGAGGAAAGTGCAACGAAGTGTGACGACGGAGATGGTGGAGCGGGGCGGGCAAGTTGTCGATTTTACGTGATATTCATTTTGCACTCTTGTTGGTTACTCGATACGTCGGCGACACTTATCCTGTCGACATTTTCACAGATTAAATCACGGATGTGTTCACGATGCGCGTCGTAACGGTTCATAGAAAACGGACCTGCGCTCCACTAACTCGACTAACGATAATCCATGCATCGCGTGTAAATTTGTCTATCGCATACTATTGTTAGTTTTAGCTCAGTTTAGTTGCCTGCCGATCTAACGATTTTCGAACTATTTCGTTACAGGATAGCTATTACATCAAAAAATGATTCGTCATTGTTAAATGAGCATTAAATTGATTACATGACGAAATTAATATAACTATCTTTTTTCACTCAGAAATTATTATAATGCTATTGTTTGTTTTAAAATTCTTTTTCATTACTTTTCGGAGAATATAAAATTATTTGCTAACTCTTATTTCGACATTTAAAAAAAACAGTACGAAATTCTTAAATTTACAAGTTTATCTGTTAAAAAGAAACAAATTTTTGAACAAGAAAAAAATCATATAATAATATCTCTTAAATTACATTAATAATATGTATATTAAAAGTAATAAAGAAATATTTTAAAACAAAAGTAGCATTTTAATAATTTCTGTAGTAATGAAAAATGTATTATATTAATTTTGTCATCATATAATCAATTCCGTGCTTTAACAATTATTATTTTTGGCGTATATCTTATCTCTCTCTTACAAAATAATATATTACACAAATTATCGATTAAATAAATCTTATTAATTTTATTTTGACTTTAATATACTCTTTACATATATTTTTAAGATAAATTAAAATTTTTTTGTAATTTTCTTTACTTTGCATTTGTTTTTTTACTTGAATTGTTTGATAAGAAGTTTGACAATATCAGTACGAGGGAGTACGAGTACATCCATCAAGATTTTCTCGCTCATTCATTATGGATAGTCTCGATAGAAACATCTTCGCAGCAAGTCAGAACTCATTGCCTATTCAGTTAACGAGACGAACGATAAGACTACCTGTCAATTATGATCAGCTTTCTCACGAACGCATCTATCGCGGTTTACTGATGCTATACCTACGTATACTGTAGTCTGACGTCGTGCACTCGTGATCTCCTTGTGAAAGGAACGATTTTCTTCGCCGCTAAGCGCACTGGATATTCACTCGCGTCGAAGTCGAATAATGTATTAAGCTCACGTAACAAGCATTACTTGAAACGAAGATCATGAGGTTGCGGTGACATTTAACAATTTAGATATTATGTCTAGTAGCCATTAAATCGTTGCCATTTATATCAATTTAAAATCTAATCTATTATGCACAAGTGAAATGTATGACATTATTAAATTTAAATAATTTAACGATTAATAATTTATTCTTCTTGAAAAGATGGAGAAGAAACGATTAAAGGAAAGAGAAGAATAGATAGCAAAAAATTTAATGTTGCGAGTAATACATAATACTCGCACTGATCATTAAAATCTAATTATGTCCATATATGATTTTAATTTAATTGTACATTAGTATCATTAGATTTTACTCTTAGTGTCAGAGATTTATTTTATACCAGTTGGAATTATGCGGAGCATAATACTCTTAGATTTTTCTTGCCAGGGTAAAGAGGATATCTGCGGGGTGATACTTCGAGGAGATTAAAACCCTCTCTATAAGCAAAGCGCAGTTGTGCTTTTACGTTACGTCTCTTTTATGCATAAAGTGCACGGGCATACCGCAAATAGCCTTTGGACACTGACGGGCACGGTAACGGTGTGCCTGATTGCGGACGATATGTTCTCAGAGATATTGCCCAGTACGAACATCCTGGAGCGTTGTCGATGGTCACGTTTCCGCGATCCGGACATCACGCTCCCTTTCTACTCTCTCAATCGCTAGAATTTCTTCATGCTGTTTAAAAGTCACACTCTATGCTTTCGCGGAAGACTCGAAAGATATCCGTTCCTGATATATAATTCACTCGATTCATCATTGTCTTCTCTTTATTAGGACGGAAAATATTTTCCTGAATATGTACATGGAAAGAATAATTCTGCTGAAGTTTAAAAATTTAGCTGTATAAGATCTAAATAATTTTGTTACATTATCGAAACAATTATATAGGAATTTCCAACATAATGTATAATGCAGCAAAAAGTTTTGACATTCTAGCAATCAATTTGAGGATCCTACTTATTTTGATAATCTAAGATTTGGTTGCATCAACGTTACTTTGACTTTACTTTCTAAATCTGAATCTGTGAATAGTCACTAATTACCCAGTGACATACTTAATACTGACAATCAATGAAGTTCAACTAAAAAAAGAAAAATATTTGAGCATTAACTAAAATATTAATATTTATATGTTAATTTCAATCTTCTAATATCATTTATTGAATTTAAGCACAAAACAAGGTTAGTTAGATCACATAATAAAGATAGGTTAAGAATCTCACATTTAATTGATTACTAGTGGCATACTTGGCACTGATATCAGTGATTATCCACTGATTCAGATTTAGAGAGAAAGAGAGAGAGAGAGAATTTTAAATCTTGCTTGAAGTTAAAGTAACGTATAATCTGGCCTAACAAAGTTATTTTCAGATCTATACTCAATTAAATTTTTAGATACTTCAGCAAAATCGTCTTTTCCATATATATAATTTCTAAAAGTAACACGCTTTTCTTCGAAATATGCACACACAGCCCTAATAAGAATCAACGGCATAAGTTATTCCATTTGTAAATCTCAGTCTTGAATCGTTGACATTTAATGCTTCTTAATGATAGAAATTAAGTTTTTATGGTGGCACTTATTAAGTCGTGGAAATGCGTCGTTTTATTCTCGACCTATGAATGATTGTTAAGAATTTTTTAAGTGAACGTATTCTTACTTCGTTAAAGTCTCGAGGGAGGACGTGTATATCGTGCCACCGACGTCGATGTGAACCGGTGCAGTGTACCTCGAAGCGGCTGCTACGCAAGGAATACCGGTCATCTTCTGGTTGTAAGTCGGGGCCGCCGGCGTCGGTGGTGTTGGCGACGAGGAATTCGACATCGTGGGCGAGGTGGCCGGCGAACTGCTTGGCGACAGCAATCTAAAAAACAAAGAAAAACACTTTTGATATTAGACATGCTAAGATTACAGTTTGCTAATCAGAATTTCTCGCAGAAAATTTTGCATATCACGTCGCAATCGAATAAAAATCGAAGAAAATTTCCATTTTTGTGCTATCATTATTTAAAAATCTCAGAATAGCCATATAAAACTTTTTCTATTTATTAACTGTTAACTGCAGACTTAATATATTTCTACCTTTGATACGTACATTTTATAGAAAAGCTATACATAGCTATACATAGCTATTGTAAATTAAGTAATTGGCTCTGTTATATTTTATATTGCGTGAGTTCTTGCGTTACATTCTATATAATTTTATATGCAACTCTAAGCACGACCAGGAAGCTAATCAAACGAAGGCGAACTATGAGCTATGAAATCGTCGACGTTGTGATTTACGATGTATGAAATTAAATGACGCTTACGGAGAGAGAATTTTACTGAGTTATATAACTCTTTCTCAAATGGACTATTCTGGGACGACTTATATTGGAACTCGGATGTAGACTTATTTACCTCATTTTAATTTGAGCGCTAGGGAACATATTGCGTTGCGCCGTCAGCTCCGCCTTCGCCTCCTTCCCATCGGCCTCACATTTCCGTCTGAAATGAAAAACATATGAATATTAGTTGTACGTATTATCAATAAAAGTTAAATATAAATTTTACAACAAGTTAAATGTAAAACGTGCGCACAAGCCATTTTTCAATGTAATTAATATAAATTAGTATATATCTTTAATTTCCTTATTTTCCTTCTTTTCTCTGTGGAATTATATTTCGATTGAAGGATTTCATGTAACATTTATCAGAAATTAGAGTCGATTGTATGAAATTTTCGTTATGTATTCAACGCTTATACCTTTTAGGCGTAACATAGGTGTCGATTTAACGTATCGATCCTCACGGCTAGTCGCGGACGACGATAACACTAGTTTAACGAGCTATTGTTTTTGGTCAAACATCGGCAATGCTGAATCGACTGAGAGCTTGGAACATTAACGCGAAATTCTCATATGCATTAATAAGGCAATTAGCGGCGGGAACAATATTTGGTGGGCGCTAGGTACCGGCCGTCCAACGGTATTCTTTTAAGCGCGCTTTCAGTGGAAAGGGTTGGTCAGTTTGGTTCACGAGTTAGAGAGGCACCCCCTTCCCCCTCTCCCCTCGAATTTTCATTACTACGTGCTCATGAAAGGCCAGCACATTATGTTACCTATTATCCAGAGGCCTGCTTTGCATAGTGTAATGCATGGTTTTTGCGACCAAGAGGATCTCGCGCTGTTAAGAGGAACCAACAAGAAATAATAAAAACAAATTCAAAGTTTATATAATTTCAACATAAACTACCGTTTCCATCAGACTGCTGCTTGTATAATAAAAAAGATATTTATTTTTTTGAGCTTTTTAAATATCGTATCTTGGTTGAATAATTCAATATTTATCTTCGCATATATATGTTTTTCTATAACTTGTTATGATTGATTAACAAATTACAATTCAATATCGAAATATGGATCTATCTTGGTTTTATCTCAGTATTTTTCGTCCGTAAAATCTCAGGGTGCGTCGTAACAATTGTGAGACTCGAGACGGGAAGAAGGGGCGCGTTTAGTCATCGCGGTATACTCGTTTTCCACCGTCCAGCGAAGAATTCGCGATGGTCAGAAGACACGGCACGTGAGGGGGTACCGGTTTTCTCCTCCACCCACCCACCCTCGCCCACATCAGTCCGCGCCGTTGCGGTGCATCGCCGCGGGAGACGCCGCGAAATGCGATGCAGCGCCTTTTCTCGGCCGCGCTGCGAGAGGTCGCCGAGCGATGCGCCCGATGCCTCTCTTTTGCTCGAAGCTGCGAAGGTGGGGAACCGGCGCGGCGGTCGTCGCAAGTCGGACATCGGGTAAAAGAGTAGAGTAAGAGATGGTGTGGAGTCGGCGGAGGCGGACGAGCAACAACGGCCATCACGGCCGCGCTGCTGCCGCGGGCTAATCGAGAGATTTATGTGGAGCTATGCATTTACGAGTATAGAAACGAATACTTGCGTACGGGATTAATTCGCGTTATTGTTGTGATCTTTAGCGCCGATGAGAGATCGATCATTGTCGCGCTCTCGCGTGGAAACACGTGTCGTCCTCGATGATCGCGTATTGACGGTATTGCGGCAAAATTAATGGGTTTTGACGGCACTTCAATCATATTCTCCGTGTTTGAAAGCATGTTTGAATGTCAGATGCGGGCGAGATGAAAAATCGAACGGTAGCGTTATTGGATTAGAAAAGGTAACGGAAGGGATAATGTTACTATTTTCTTCTTTTTGACCATCTGAATTATTTTACTGTACAATATTTGCTTCTTCCGGGAACTGTATCAATTTTATATTGGATCTACTTTTTGTAGTTTTTTGTTTGCTTATGTATCTTTAAATCATTTAATTTGACGATACACGATAAACGAAAAAAGAAAATAGTAGAAAAATATATTGAATTTTATATCAATATATGAGAGCGGATGGGATATAGTTTTGATTCAGGTATACTCATAATACAACGTTGAAATGACCGGCAGCGCCGACGAAAGAAGAATCTGAAGCACGATATAGCTATAACAATGGCGATGATCATCATGGTCGTTCGAGTACCTCGGGGCGATTGGTCGGTGTACGAATGTACATTACGGTCGACGTACTGAAGCCACTCGCTTATCATTATGCATAATTACATGCGTAAAATCGACAATTAATTCAATACAGAAATTAGTATTTACGTATGTAACAAACAATTTACGTAAATAATTCGACACGTTGCAGCACACACGTACATTTCGTAGTAAGATTAATATTTAAAACATTTATATGATCTCGACTGAAGCGAGTCTGGCACATTGAGTGTTGTAAAGAGATTTTCAAGATTCTCGCATTGCGCGTTCACGAAGAAATCCCGAAATATAGAAGCTATCCAGACGAATGCCGTAATGATATCCGCGATAATGTCCATTGCGACGTGGCGATGCCTCGAGCCAATTGTATCTCATACGCAGATAGTTTTATTGCATGCATACATCCGCGTATGCGCCAACGGGTACCCTCACGGATAAAGATAGATGGAACAGAGGCTACACAATTATAATGTACTATCTGTACAACTGTCTGCGGACTAATACGACTTTCTTGTTAATGTGACATTATACAACGTATTAGAATAATCTTCAAACGGACAACTTACGTCTGCGATTGAGATATTCAAAAGGGAGATGTTAAAAAGGGGGGGCCGATTTTGGAAGATATAAATAAAAGAAATAATATTTTTTTTTGTAAATTTTGACCTCCTGGATACGAAAAAAAAAAGATTAAACAGTTCGTAGGGAACTCTTCAAAAATTGAGCATGATATATTTATCCAAATTTTAATATTTTTGCTCAATTTTCGGAGTGTTCCTTAAACTCCACAAATTTTTAATTTTATTGTATCCAAGTCTACAAAAAACATTATTTCTTTTATTTACATCTTTTTGAGAAATAGGTCTTTTTTTTACATCCTCTTTTGTGAAGCAAAATTTGCCTGGTCATTTGGATTCTAATGTATCCATCTGACCTTAATAATACCGTACGTAGAGTATAGACTGCATGTAGAAATACAAGCTGCAAGTGGTAGTTCATGTTGGCAGGCACGCGTCCGACGTCGCGAAGGCGAAAAGCGTTTCACCGGGCGTGAAGATGCAACGTCGTCGCCTCTCGAACGTCAAATTAGAAAGGATGGTGAGGAAGAGGCGGGAGACGGGTAAGGTGATGCGAGACGCGACGTCGTCCGCAACGACACCGTGATATCCGCGTTATTACCCGAGGCCATCGGAGCCTTTTACCCAGATACAATTCTGATACGTGTACGCACGAGTGAACGAGCGAGCGACCGACCACCGACACACGCTGCAAAACGTATAAATTCGCGTTAAGGTGATCACAGCCCGAGGACACGGCGAGGCGGCTAACACGCGCTAAGGACGCGCGCGTGCACGATGTCGTGCACAGAAGAAGAGCACTACTAACTTTACGTGGACGTTCAATGGCCCGAGGACGTCGGCGTATGCAAATTTGAAAGCGATCTGTTACATTGGGCGACGATGTATCATCGGGAAAGTCTGCCAATAGACGTGAAAATGAGCCAACTATGAGAGGACCATTTTGTTGAAAAGTTTAAAAAGCTCACGTGAATTAGGAGATTACACAAAGGGGTGTAATTGAACGAGTAAACTTTGAACCAATTTAACAAATATTGGATCATTTAAAAAATATCCGCGGTTTTTTCATTCAAAAATTGAACAAAAAACCGCGGATACTTTTTAAATGACCTAATATAAGAATCAATATTCACAAGTGATAGAAAAATTTTTTTAATTACGTTAGATTAAATAATTTGAAATAACTTAAAAATAAACATATATGATGTAAGCTTGTATACACATAAAGCATATACACGTACGAGAGAGGAATATGCATCATTTTTCATCTATTTATTTGGAAAACAGTTTATTTGGAAATTTCGTTGGGCAGAATATCACATTATACGTGAACTAACATTTGAGACAAAATATTGGACTTTCCTATATATTATATACATATGCGAATGATAAATTTTAATTATTAAAACCATTTCTATCGATTTTTTTGAAAATCTTGTCTGTTTATACTCGTGCGGGTACAAAGCTAAAATAACAGAGACATCAGACGAAACCACAAAGTGATGAAATGATACCGCATGTGAATTCATTTAGACCAGTCGACTGGATTTCCCTCTGGTGATTTCATTATGAGGGCCAGTCAGATCGGCTCTCTCTGAATAATATTTGTAATGGATCCATTTGCGAGCGCATACGAACGTTCGAACCGCAATGTTATTAACATCATAATCTAGAGAACGTAATCTTTGCACCAGCTAGTACATTGGTTTTCTCGAAATAATATGATATTGTGAATAAATTTTAGAAATTATTAATCCAATCTCTTACATTTATTTAGATATTCTTATATTTGGAGCAATACAGTATTCCATACAGTTTTACCTGCATTCCACGGAGGCTTTAATTTACCAAGATATCTACTGTATTTATATCGTGATATTTGTATATGTAGGCCGGTATGTCAAGGTTTCAAATACGATTAAATCAAATGAATTTAACCATCTAACATTTCAGTACCAACACCATAAACTCATATACTTTGATTGTCCATAGATAAGTCTATATTTTCAAGGAATGTATACACGTACCTTGACACAGACATAAATGTAAACCAAAGAAACTGGCTCAGGTGGTATTGCATTCCCATGAAAATTGAGAACATACTTGAGAATCGTAATGGATGCGAGTTCTAAAATATCAAGTTTTATTTTTTCACGAAGAGAGAGAGGGAAATAATAGAGATTAACCAAATGCTCAAAATGTTTTTAATGCCAAAGATTGGAGTTGCTTCACTTGATGAAATATTTTTTATTATATTTGTAGAATTGGAAAGATTATTGCAAAAATTGTGCTAGTGAAGAAAACTCTAACAAATGTTAATGACATAATCTGTATAGTATGGCATGGAAATGTGTCTTTTTAAGAATATTA